CGAGGCATTCATGGCCCACACTGAGCAGGTGGTGTTGGGTGGTGAAGCTGTAGAACAGCCTGCCCTGTACTGTCGCTACATAGACGACATTCTCGTAGACGTGCGCGACCAGGACCACTTGAATCTTCTCAAAACCCAGCTAGAGCACACGTCAGGGCTAGACTTCGCCACAGAACTGAGTGTAGCTGACAAAATCAACTTTCTTGACGTTTCCTTGGACGGTAGCAGTGGATCATTCCAAACCACTGTCTATCGCAAGCCCACAGATTTGGGTAGGTGTCTAAACGGCTCCAGCATCTGCCCGGATAGGTACAAAGACAGTGTAATCAGTGCGTATGTCAAACGAGCAATCAAGCACTCCTCCTCTTGGACACTGTTACATGCAGAGTTACGCCGAGTAAAGCAGCTTTTGGTCAACAACGACTACCCCATCGCAGTTGTGGACAAATGCATCAAAGACGCGCTTCATAAGGTCAGCCAGCCTGATGAACCAAAAAGCAGCACAAACACCACACACAAATTGTTCTATCAAAATAGCATGTCTCATTCATACAAAACCGATGAAAAGGTACTTCAATCCATAGTACGAAAACACTGCAAACCGGTGACTCCAGGAGACAAGCTGAAACTCATCATATATTACCGAAACCCCACCACGCGATCCCTCATCATGAACAACAACCCATCACGCGACACGTCACTCCTGAAACAGTGCAATGTAATTTACAGTTATAAGTGTCCTATCGGAGACTGCGCGCTCCGCTCTAACTGTAAATACATCGGACTCACCACCACTTCGCTCAGCAGAAGGATCACAATGCATTTACAAAACGGTGGCATAAAAACGCACACAGAAACAACTCACGGCCAGCGACTAACTAGGAAACAGGCTGTAGACAACATGAGCATATTAGACAGATGTCAAAACCGTAGAAAACTACAAGTATTAGAATCTATTTACATCAGAGACCACGACCCGACCATAAATCGTCAAGTCAATGCACGAGGAACGCTCAGCTTTATGAAGGCCAAGTGATAGGACCGCGGTGAACGTAGGATGACAGCGACGTTGTGAAAGACTGTAGATATGTGAGTATGTGTGTGTATTTGTAAGTGTCGAGTTCAATATTGCATTGTAAATATGTCCGGTATTCCTATGCACGATATGTCTCGTAGTTTACTTAGCGGGAAGCGTATCAGCCAACTGTAGATTCTGTAGCACACTCTTCACGAGCGTATAAAATCATTGCACTTTTTGCTATTATAAGGTGACAGATTTGTGACAATCTTGTGTATTTAGGACTGTAGTTCATCGAGCGAAGTGAGATTATATTGCGATATATTATATGATACGGGCAAACATGTCTGGGATAACTTGATAAGCACCATGTTCTCACCATTAACAAATTGTATATTCACTCTTGATAATGTCTCATGAGAGATGAAACGTTGAGTTTACCCAATATATCAACATGCGCTACTTCACTTTACTTTTCATCATGACTTTAGGATCTTTGCTTGCTAAGCACACAGCCATCGGTAAAAAAGTGATTCGTAACATCGAGAGCACAACGAAGAAAATAATCAATGCTGAAGCCGCTGTTTTATTCAATGATCAATGCATATATATATATATATATATATATATATATATATATATATATATATATATATATATATATATATATATATATATATATATATATATATATATATATATATATATATATATATATATATATATATATATATATATATATATATATATTCCGTATTTGTTTTCGTAAAATCAGAACCTTTAATTTTTTGTATTTGTACCTATATGTATATTTTTTTCGAAAGTTTCATGATTATAAAAATTTATAGCCACGTTTATTCTAAATCCACTCATGCAAATAAATAAGATCTAGCCAAAAACTGAACTATTGAGAGCAATTGCCGGAGTTCAATATTTTGCATGAAAATCGGCCGACATGTCGTCACTCTGACGTCATTTTCGGCCGACCTATAGTAGCTTAAAAGCTGAAATTTTGACGCAATCTGTCACAGCAATGCTGCTGAAGGTACCGCAAGTTTCGTGTTGAGACGTTAAACAGTTACGAAAATATTGCCGAAAAACAGTATGCACACAGAAAAATATTGACACCGTTAGCGGTGTAATTGCACAGTACATATCTGAGCACTTGAGGAAAGTTAATTTAGTCCCTTCCCCGCTTAAATTACTCGCGCTTCTAAATGAACACCAGGAAGAAGGTAATAGAACACTGTTAGGAGGGTTGGGTGTTTTACTACATGTAGCAAAACACCCAACCCTCCTAACAGTTTTCTATTACCTTCTTCCTGGTGTTCATTTAGAAGCGCGAGTAATTTAAGCGGGGAAGGGACTAAACCCTCGCATGTGTGCGGCGTTTGCCAGCTTCTAATGTGTAGGGGGGGGGGGGGGGTCGGTTGGACCCCCCCTTGCCGTTTGGCCCCTGATCGAGCTAGAGCTTCGCGGAAAAAACGAGCGTGTTGCCCGTGACGAGAGGAAGCCGATGATACCCAATTTTAAGGTCCTAGGTCATTGGTTGACCTTCCAGGTCAGGTCAATGACCCAAAGTCGGGAAAATCGGGACCTGTTAGAAAGTCGTAAAGTGTGGCTGCTAGGGGGTTTTTCGGGGTGCTGATCACGAATATCGTGTTAATTTTGATCACAGATGATGTCTTGAAGCATTTAGACTAGGTCGGGTCAGGTCAGGTCAGGTCAACCAGTAGGCGTCGTGACGGGTATTCGTAGTACGTGTCAACCGCCTCTGACAGCTTCGTAACATGTTACGAAGTCACCAAAACTACTTCGTAAATGTTCAAATGGTTGCTAAATTCGAATTCAGCTCCAAAAACTAGCCTAGAAACATGTAAAACTCGAAAAAGTGAACCGAGGTCACCCGAGGTCACCAAAGGTCAATGACCTGACCTGACCTTCAGGTGACCTTGACACACACGGGAGTAACATCAAATCACATGTTTGAACGTTTGAAACCACGAAAAGCTTGCAAACACGTGGCTAGTGCGAGCCGACATACGCGAAATCGCGATTCCGGCCAAACATGGTCTCGGAAAAGAGGTCACAGGTCAAAGGTCATTTGGGTCAGGGTCATGAAATTTTCAGGGTAGGTGTAAAATTGATCAATGCGAGGGTACTGAAAGTTTCGTCGCGATCGGCCGCTTTTTACGCGAGTTATTCGCGAAAAACCATGGGGGGGGGGTCCATCCGACCCCCCCTACACATGCGAGGGTAAGTTAACTTTCCTCAAGTGCTCAGATATGTACTGTGCAATTACACCGCTAACGGTGTTAATATTTTTCTGTGTGTGGGGACTCTCTAGAGCCCCCAGTCATGCGCGGGTGACATGACCGTTGACCTGCGGTCAAATCTGAGAACAATGGTTAACCCGCGCCCAGATGGGGTCTGCCGAGCAACGCGGTCTGATGGGGGGGGGGGGGGGCCATTTTGGCCCCCCCCTCAGATCTCGAGAACCACGCAACATAGCGACAAGCGGTAAACGGTGTTGGATAGCCCCAACGGGGAACTACCTTGTGACCCAATTTCATTGACCTCGGTCAAACCGATGACGTCACAGGTCAGGTCAAAGGTCGAATTTTCATCGTTTACAGGCATTTCAAGAAATGCGTTGTAAAATCGTGTAAAATGCATTTCATTGAAAATCATCGATGGGGAAATGTTCTTCAAACACATATTTTGCTATTTGAGGTCACTGATTCCAGGTCAGGTCACAGAGGTCAGGTCACTGGGGGGTCACAATATGAAAGTGTCGTGTGATACATGTTTTATGGTCCATTTTACATGACAAATGCGATTATGTGGGTCAGACAGACTTTAGGGCCAGCTTAGGTCACGTTTTGGTCAAGGTCAGGTCAAGGTCAGGTCAAGGTCAGGTCAAGGTCAGGTCAAATTAGGTCAAATTTCAAAGTTGATATTTTTGCACAAAATGGGTATCGATTCGATGCAGCTCGTCACGGGGAGTTCAATGGTGGTCTCCGTTTTGCGCTACGAGGTCTAGAATTGCTAAAAATTGAGTTCAAAAATTTGACGTAATCAATTTTTAAGTTTTTTCGCTATAACTTGGCCAAAAAAAGAGGTATCGATCTAAAATTTGGTATCTATATAGAAGAGCGCAGGGACTATCACATATATTCCGGTTTTTTTCGACATTCGAAAAAATTTTGAATTTTTTTTTTAAGTTTTTCTAAAAAAATCAATTTTTTTGATTTTTGGGGGTCAAAATCCCAAAATTTCGAAAATCCGAGATAGCAGTCTTGTAGCGCCGTCTTTTCTCTACACAACCACATAAAGAACTTTAAAATTGCTTGTTAACTGTAGAATTGGTGAGCGTTTCAAGATGTCATGTTTTTTGCTCATTTTTACTCGAACATGACCTCAGTTTGACCTCAATAACTCCTGACCTGAGGTGACCTGTGACTTGAAATTTTGTGTGAAGGTGTCAAATTGATGTCCGGTAAGGTACCCAAAATTTGGCGGCGCTGCGCGCCGCCGTTTTCTCGCTATTTAAGAAAAACCACAGAGGGGGGGGGGCCAAAATGGCCCCCCCCCATCAGGGCGCGGGTTAAAATGGTATGTTAAAGGAATATCGATTGCGCTTTTCCGCGACGCTGTAGCTCTATTGATTCCCGAGTTAGCGGTTGGCAGTTTCCAAAATTGGTGAAATGGACTAAATATGACCTTTGATGACCTCTGGTAACCTGGCCTCTGGCCTGACCTAAACAATGACCGAAGTGTTTCCATCATTATGTTTGACGCTGCTCTTTCGATTGCCGCATACCGTGTGTTGTTACGTGGCCCAGGAGCCGAGTTAGACGGGGGGGAAACGCCCCCCCCCATCACGACACGGAAAACTCAGGCTACCAGCACGGCGCGGGTTTAGGGCGTATCTCGCAAAAAAAACTGTCCAATGCACGTAAGTTCGAAAGGAAACAATTGATACATTTGCATTCGTTTATTTCTTAACACAATTGTTCACAAACTAAAGATATCGGCTGTTCGAAGCGAGCCACCAGCAGTCAATTACTGAGGACGCTGCCTTTGACGGCACCCCGACAGCGCCAAACAACCTGCGAGTACAGGTGCCGTTTCGGTGCGTTTCACATTAGCACTCGAACTAGCTCGCCGTGTACTGAACAGTGAATAGTGAACACTGCCGTGTTCGCGATTGATGCTGCCTCTCGCAATGCCCAGGATAGACGATAGATCTCCCGTGGTGTTTGCGACAGAACTCACAATTAACAACGCAACCCCACCATCCTGACAGTTGCACACAGATCAGAGCAATCCGCGCTGCACGCGAATCACAACAGGCAACGCAATGCATGCAATGCGGTTCGGAAAATGTGTCGAACCCCGAGCACATACAGCTCAGTGCTACTTGGTCACCAACAAGCGATCTCACAGAGCCGGATATGTCTGGGCATCATCACATGGCACATTTTATCGAGTAGTATTCCACCAAGTGACATACAACCATGGACGAAATGTGTCCTTCGCCACAGTTGTCGCTATTGAATGGTTGCACCCAACGAGTTGAACGACGCAGCGATTCATAATGCCATTAAATGTGCGGTCAGGTACCACAGCATTTAGTTTTTTTTTCAGTATTATGGTAAATCTGCCTTGTTAATTCATGAATACCTACTGCAGCTGCCAAGTAACAAAAATGACACGTTAGATACTAGCTGATTCTAAGCAGTAAGCGACATAACCTAGCATGTTATTTTATGCAACTGACAGACTAAAATGATGTAATACAACATAGGTTACAAGCACAGTGGCATTCTTCAACGATTTTAATAGCATAACTCAATACTAAGCCACGAGATTTTGAGCTGTATTTGGCAATTGAACGTGAAACAGCGACAGTCGCCGAATGCACTGGCAGATTCAGAGAAAATCCGGGACAAATTCTCCCTTCGACCCGTTACGCTTGACATCGATAGAAGTTTTACCGTTTTCTTTTTTCTTGAATAGAAGGAAAACCTATCAACTTGCACAAGCAAAGTAAACTTTAAACTGCCGAAAACCGTGCATAAGGAATCGAAATCGCGGGAGTTGGGGGCTTTTTGAGAAACTTCAATGAGGGTATGTCTTCTACCGCCGTATGCCTCCTTCCGCCGGTTCTAGATCAGCCAGTGACCGAATGAAGATAAATCTCAAAGGTCTCTGTTTAGCAAGCGAATAGAGCATCTCAGGTGCTACTTCAGCAATATCGGGAGACGTTCATACTGCAAGCGAACACGTACTAAGTAACTACTTGTATATGAACGGGGATACTAGTTGAACTAAATTGAACAATGACCACCTTATATCTTGGGGCAAAAGAATGTTAGACAGACCCATAGCTTCATAAGCTTTTACCATTTATAGACAAACAATTTCATCGCTATTTGGCATAACAAGAGATGTCAATCGGATACCAAGTGAGTGGTATAGGTAGGTTAGATAACGATACCTCAATAGATGCCTTTCACATCTAATAGACGCATAGCTTATTACGTCACACTCGCGATGCTGGGGTTCTGGTCCTACCGAGCTTCTGGTTATTTCATGGGCCCTGAACTGGGATGGTGTAGTACGCCTTAATGAGACGAGTCAGAAATGGAACTGGCTGAAAGAGACCGGGAAGCCAGTAGAGCCCGGTTGAGACACTGCTTCGCGCTGACATGTGTGCCACCATTCGCGTCCACGACAACCAGCCTGGCGTCCAGTGTGTCCGTATTCGACCGATACCCAGGTGAGCTAGGGGGCCGATACAAATGTGCGCGCCAACCCTACCCGGGCGGTCTCCAGTGCGCCACCTATCCCGCCTATCACCGCCACCTATCGGCGCGGCGGCGAGTTACGTTTTCAGTGGCATTCTCCGGTGTCCGCCGAGCGCCGCAGCCGGCGTCTGCTGGGTGAACGGACGCCGCATCTGGTCGACACTGGAGCCGATCTGAGCCGTCATTGCTGATGACGTACCGCGGTTGTTGTTGAGCATCCGCACCTCATTCTCGCCAGCACTCATCGGGCTGTGAACACACCCGATTTTTCCATTTATCTATCATTTATTTGTTGTAGGGGGGGGGGGGGTGTTCAACCTTCTCCCCCAAGCATGGGACGCGGGTTAATATATTCGTGTGTTTATCTACGTACCCATATCGTAAAATCTACATTCTTACATTGTGGCTTCTTAGCTGGGGTCAATCCAATGTAAGAAAACAAGCATGCATAGATGCCAAGGTTGCGGATAAAGGCAGCTGATATTGATAAGGCCCTGCGACTGCTGTTGTCCACTTCTGCCCTTGGCGCTACGCAAATTTGTAGCATGACCTGAAAAAAGCAAGCTTCAGGACACCATAGGAACCCCAAAAAGTAAGATTTCGATGATCGCCAGCTGTCGTTTTGTGGCTGATTGGCCCGTGACCCACTCACCGAATAACCGTGTTGCGTTCCCTCTGTATCAGCTCGCGATCCGAGGTAAAGAGCACGGTATGGTAGGGCACAGGCTGGCCGACCAGGCGCGCGGGGCCCCCGGCAATCTGACCCAGCTGACCGTTATAGACCAGCAGGTCATCGACCAGCAGCTGAGGACCAAAGGGGTCAACAGAGGTCAACAGAGGTCAACAGAGGTCAGCGGAGATGAACGGACGTCAGAAATACGCTTAGTTGAGGTTATCAGCCTGTACAACGAACGGAGGTAAAAGAATAATTTATTCGTGCGGGCGGAGTTTATCCTAATTGGCGGAGTAGCTGAGGTGAACCTGCTGACATTTATTAGCGATTAGCGCCAATATATTACTGTATCACTGCGGAAAAAGGCAGCCAAATGCCGGTGAAGCCACGCGCTTGTTGAAGCTAACAAAATAATGACATTCCGGTCGGCAACTTACACCAAATTCCTTCACACCCCTCGCTGGCGTTTTAGCGTAGTTCCATATTTTGATCATGGACACCGTCTGTATCTCGTCGAATATGATGTAAATCCTGTTGATCTGAGAACGATAACAGATCAAATATCAGAGACTAATCAAAATGATCGCATGACAAGGCCGTGCTTAAAAAATCAACGATTACGAATTAATGACAGGAGTGTATCATAAATTACTAGCAAAATGAGGCAACCCATCAAATAATTAAGCATTTTATGAGTGTATCTCATTGTCTCAATAAGGTGCACCCTATCTCATGTAACAAAACACAGTCATACAGTCTTGCTGAAGATATATTGAAAATGTTTACCTATAAATGGTAAGAATATAAAACTAAAATTTCTTTTTTGTGATAAAAAAGTGAGAAAGCAAAACAGAAAAACGACATTATTATTATTTACGTCATTAATACAATCAACAAAAAATCAAGCAAAAACAAAAGCCACAATCCCTCGTCTCTGTGCCCGCCGCCGTGCGGCTGCTGACCATGTCGGGCAGGATGGGTGCCAGCCACATGTGCCGGCCGTCTAGAGTGCTGTTCACACCGTCCACCAGTTTGTCGGGCGTGCGCACGTCTCCGGTCACGTTGTCGAGCACGTTCACACTGTCCGGAAAGGCGGCCACGTCTGCCGGATGTTCGAGGACCAACCACGTAAGTCAGGGGTCAAAATACCAGCCGGTGGAAGGAAAGCAATGTGAGACGAGTATCACATCCCATCATATGTATTGATCGGGTGTACAGTGAAGGTCACAAGACCTGAAGACCCCGGTCTCGTCAATCGCATTGCACGCTGAACTTGTTCTTTACTGGGCATCTGGGATAAAGTAGAGTAGGTCGGCCCAGTGCTCATCTAGGCGCGAGTTGAACATGTTCACGGAACTTTCATTCCATATCGATGGGCAGACTGTATCATATCTCATATATGAAAGATCATACCACAACCAGTTTATCGTTTTGGAATGCTGCTAACCCACCGGTCATTATGTTGATAGAGCTCAATGTTTGATGTTAGGTCAGTTTTTTTCCCCAACTGAACTGACCGTGGTAGCTTGTGATGCACCAGTAATTAGCAATCTACCAGACAGGATGTCATTTATTCCTATTTTCATCCTTTCAGTAGCAACGAATCACAGATCAGTATAGGCAATAGGCATATACCTTCCTAAGCTTCTTAAGATTCAAATGCATTTTAGGGAAATTGTTTCAGGTAAAAATGTGATGCTTTGCTCCTAACTCTAAAGCCGTGTACCGAGTATCAGCCAACAGGTGTGTCGTACTTTTATCGGTGAGCGGTATCTTGTGACCGGCGGCGTCGTACAGCTCGATGCCGTTCAGACCGGTGTAGTACAGGTCTCCCCAGGTGGATAGAAGGTGGAACTGGAACACGAAGCCCTGCGGCATCATCGGCGCCTCGTACTCATCCTGAAACACAGACAGAGACATACAGGTGAGGGCGAGAGGCTGATCTTTACACACAGGACAGGGACACACAGGCGGGGGAAAGGCACAGAAGGCACCGGCGCTGTTGGGACGTTATGCCAGGCATGCGGGGGACCATAGGAGAAAATAAAAGCATTCGAAGGCTCGAAAGTCGAAACGCATCAGTATGATTGGCGCATGAAAGCCAGTGTTACAGGTTGGTGCAGTCTCTGCGTGGGTGTCTGTGTAAGGTGCACTACCAGCTCATATAATGATCTTAACCCTCGCCCATGTAGGGGGGGGGGGGGGGTTGGTGCAACCCCCCCCCCCCCCTGAGGTTTTTCGGAAATAGTGCAAAAACGGCGGCGCGCAGCGCCGCCAAATTTTGGGTACCTTATGCGGCAAACCTTGCGCATCTTTTGATAAAAAAAAATTGACCGGGTCATGTCAGGTCACGGAGTTATGACGTCACAAAGGGAACAGCCTCCGGTCGGATTTTCACAAACCCGTGCCAACGGGTGCCAACGGGAGTGCCAACGCCCGAGGTTTCCTGCCGGTGGTACGGACATCGGTTGATGGATCGTGATGAAACTTCCCATGCATGTTGGGGCAAGTATTGGCTATCATATGGTATAAGAAACTTGACCGGGTCAGGTCAGGTCACGGAGCTATGACGTCACAAGAGGAACAGCGTCCGGTACTATTTTTGAAAAGCGCCCGAACCACTATTTTGCTAATTCTTGTCACCTCAATGGGAATATGCAGCAATATTAGCTTCTATAGGGAGCAAATGGACCTCCCAAATCCAAAAATACAATCAGATTTCAAAAATTTAAATTTTGATTTTTCGAATTTCTGCCGCCGACTGTGACCTTGCCGGGGCATTCCACGTCAAATCGAACAAAAATCGGCTGTTTTGCACCTTACCATCAGCGATTTCATTATAAATTTGTGAGCGAGTTCCTGTGTGGCTCCGGACATTACATTGATGTTTTTTGCACATTCTGACCACAGGTCTTCTAAATATAGGGCATCAAATTTTTACAAAATGTTGCATCTTTATATTTTTGAACGACCATAACTTTGGTTGTACTTGTTTGATTTGAATGAAATAAACCTTACTGTTTAGGTAATTTCTTAAGCATTTGTTTAGAACTGCACTAATTTAAATATATGACCTTGAAATTTGCTTAACTCTGTTCTTAAGCACAAATATTGAAATAGCAAAAAACACGTCACCTTCGATTTGGCTCATTTTCATATATTTTATTGCCTACTATATTCTTAACAACCTGTGAAAAAATTAGAGTGGGCCATTCATAAGTTTTAAAGAAAATTGCACATATGCAAACGTATGTTAGCACGCGCAGTGGAGGGGGAAGAACAAATTTCGCCCACCCCTCCTGTTTTTCGCCAATATCTCATAAGATTAATGCGAAATTAATTATGGCTACCTGTCAAGAATTGAATTGGGCATCTCATCGTGCAAGCAATAAGAAAATCGGTTCACAACTGTTCTAGTAATAGCGGTGTAAAGTGATCATCCTGTCGCCGCAGCAACGCGGCGGCTCGGCAGCCGGCGCCGACCGCTACGCGCCGCCTGAATTGTAGACTGTGCCGGGACGGAACGGAACGGTTCCGTCTTTACATCGCGCTCCCTACCGCTGATTACCTTCGATTCGCGTCAAATTTTGTGAGAAGACTAAGAAATGTACAGGCAATCTTATGGTGAAAGAATTTTGAAAATCGGTTGGTAAACAATTGAAATATGAACGTGTAAACACAAAATTGTGATTGCTGCGTTTCCCGCATCGGCCGCGCCCGCCTCAGCCGGCGACATGTTACTCTTAGCAGGCCTCTAACTGCCATATTTATTATTGGATTAACTAGAAATTCCCCATACATACTAAAAAAATGTATGTTCTTTCGTATAGTGGAGATCAAAAGACGTGAAAATATCGTAGCGTGATAATGTTTTCGTTGAATTTACTTCATGATGCATTTCCACACGGCTCAAAATTCACCGCAAAATACCGTTTGCCTGAGACACTTTTACTATGGAACGTGAATGCTTGACTACGATGACTATGCATTTCCATTCTCGCAGAGTTTGGGATATCACTAATCAGCAATCATTCATTTCAGAAAGTGTACACAAGCAAGCATGTCTTGACTCTGTCTTTCAAGGTCACGCGCGGTTGCGTGATGTTGATGCATGAAAACGGCGTTTGCCGCGAAAGTTATGAATGGCCCACTCCAATTTTTTCACAGATGGTTAGGAACATTGTGACGGACATAATATGTAAAAATTACCCAAATCGAAGGTGACGTGTTTTTTGCTATTTAAATTTTTCTGTTTTAATTCAAGGTCAAATGCATTTCAAGGTCACTTCAATTTAATTTTATAATTAAAAATCAAAGCCTTATCAATTGCCTATAAGACCCTGTTAACATCATTTTGATACCAGAAAAGGAACCAGAGTTATAGCCATTTAAAAAATTGATGTGTGGCATTTTTCGCTATATTCGATGACCTATATCTCAGCGATACGTTATCAAATTTTGAAAATATTATACGTAACTCAGTTTTGAACCATGCCCAGTCTGCCTACAAATTTTCAGAAAAATCGAAGGGGATGACGGATTTCGGTGTTTGATTTGACGTGGAATGCCCCTGCCGACTTCCGGCGCTCCCAACGCGCCATTTTTAGAGCTAGGGAAACGAAATACATACCAAACGATAGAGAATTGATCAAGGAACACGATAGTGAAGGTTTCAAGTCGATATCTCCCACCGTTTTGCCGCAATCGCCGCGGAAAGTTGAAAAAAGTCTATTTTTCCGAAAATTTGACCTTTGACCGGTCAAAAGTAGGTCAAATGTTGACCTAGGACCAAAAAATATACCACCAATCGCGAGATCTCGGCGAGAGCAATCCGTTGGTCTTTTCCGCTAAGCTCTACGACGCTCCGTTTTCAAACGCCAAGGGGGGGGGGTCGCACCAACCCCCCCCCCCCCTGCATGGGCGAAGGTGGCAGATCGCCGTTTACGGGCGAGGGTTAAGAATCATGATCTGGTCTCCTGGCTATAGTCGCTCATTTTGGTGCACTCTGAGACACGAGTCGCGTGTATGTCGGTGGTGAATGTGATGGAAATACCTACACTTTGAAACTATAGCCTACTGTGTAAGAATATGTGGCTCAATGGGACCCCGCAGGATAGCCCACTAGGCGTTTCGGCATATCCCACTTTTGGAAACCGGCGGAAGTCTCACCTGATAGACGCTGTCGCTGATCCGCACGTGCGTGCGCCCCTTTTTGGGCTTTTCGTGTCGCCTGGCAGCGCTGCCTGCCGGCGCTTTGGTCAGCGCCACCTCCTGGCTAAAGTTGTAGTGGGTGTTGCCCGGCGCCCGGCGCAGCACGAACCCCTCAGCAGGAGAGACCCGCTTGTTGTCCACGCTGACGATGCAGTTGCGGGCCTGGCCAGGAAAGCTGAGTTACAGCGGCATTAGTTAAAGTGGAGAAAGGAATCGCATGTCTATTTTTCCATTTCATTTTGACTGGAATGGTCTAGTCCTGCTACTAGCCTACTAACCCCCTTGTAGCTGTCCTCCTGCGAAGCGTTGTAGTTCCAGACTCGGAGGGCGGCGATCGGAGTGACGGCCGCCAGCCGTACGATGACTGTTACTGACTGACCCTCCTTCCAGGGCACCAGCCACATGTGCTCCGGGTCGGAGGTCAGACGCTCGTCGTCCAGCAGTCTGCCACGGATAAAAACACACGGCGAGAAACGTTGGTTGGGGGAATCAAAAAAGTACATCGTTGAATCAAAAAAGGTTTGAAATTGTAGGTTATGCCTATTGATAAACCAGCTTAGGGCAATGTTTATCCTGTTGTTTCGTTCCTTCTTATATGTACGCTTAGTTGTACGTTTCAAGCGTTGTGCGTTGAAAGGTGGCATGCATTGTGCTATCTTATTGATTTTTTCTTTTGCTAAGGGACAGGACAGACGATGCGAAACGTGAGCACGTACATACTGTGAAATATGCGCTTTACCACGCATATGCAAACATGCAGCCACACATTGCACCTAACTATTGTGACCTTCAGCTTCGTTTTACGAGCACAGCCATGACAATTGCGTTACGACCGGCTAATAGGTTTGAAGAGAAGCCCTGAATAGGCCGCCTTGAGCTGAAGTTCGACAAAGCCGTTAGCGTTCTCTTCTTTTGTAGCAGGCCCCACAACTTTTGACCACGTTGCTGTGGGGTGGGCTTGGTTACCTTGGTAACGTGGTGGTGGCGGTGGATGCCGTTAGCTGGGAGGCCTTCAGTTGGATGGCCTTTTGGTTGTCCTTGATTATTTCCAGGCCAGTCAGACCTGGGAGTACGAGGGAAGGGGGACGTTCATGATTAGTTGCGTTCTAAAACGTAACATGAACGAACATCGAATGCAAAGAAATAACTGCTGCTAATCATTTGACGACCAACAGGAAATCTTATCTTGAACTGTTAGAGGTTTGACAGATAATTTGACATTTTTCATATGTTTTATGCCTATCTCGCTAAGGATTATCATAAAATTTCAAAACAAGTGAAATAACATTAATGACGTTTGGTAGGTTTAAGCTTTGCATGTTTTGTAGGTTCTCTTGCAATCCTTGTCGATAACAGCTAAGGGACATCTTTTACATGTCACTCACAAAAATAACAACCCATTACCAAGCAGCAATTGATGCTCAAATTTATCGGCCCTCGGCATTTCTATCTGACTCACACACCGCCATTAGTTCCCGATTCGCCCCACTGTGTGTGCCTTCCACTGACCGAGCTGATGGCGATCTCCCCACGAAGATGTGAAGGTGAGCTGGATGATTTGACCCCGCGGTACCGAGCCGGACGAGTCAAAGTTGACGATCTCAGCCGAGGAGAGTTGCGGTACGCGACTCTGAGTCTCCGTCAGCGCGTGGCCGGAGGTGAATGGACGACCGCCCGACTCCTGGGAGCGCAACGACGCGATTGCAATAAGATAACGGTTACAGTATGCTTACACCAGGGGTGGAGAAATATGCCGAGTTGGGGTTGCACGGGCGCAGCAAATCCGCCGCCGCCCTGGCAGTGACCTTGACCTCCGCTGTCTGGTGCGGTTCCAAAGCCAAGCCACCGCAGCCGGCGCGGCGTGGCATTGGGAAGACTCGTGCTACCCCAACTCGGCACAATTGTCCACCCCTGGCTTACACAGCTTTATATTCCTACATAAATATTCGTTACTGAAACCATTCCAAGTGCATGGCCAACCTCAGCGGCATTAGTCATATCCGATTGTTGGTAATGGTATACATCAGGGGGATGTCGTCCCGGTTCTCCCCATGTATTATTCGCCAATCAGCTTAACACTACCAGTGACGTCACTGGTGGATCACCAATCGGGGCCGTCCGGCCGGCCGGGCCCGTAGGAGGCCAAACGCAGACGTTTTCAGAAAAGCGTAAACCGTATATGTAGATACAGTCGTGGATGTAGTTTTGCTGTGATTCGGCTCTCCAAGAGTGCGTCAGCGGACCAGGACCAGGATAAAGGTCATAGTGAACCGGCATCTGATAAAATCCGCTCACGGCTTAGCAGCCGACTTCGACCCTTCGCCCTCGTAAAATACAAAAGCTTGCCGGTTATCAATCCACCTGCTTACTGCCTATATCGACCAGTGCAGCCGTTTTGGAGCGGCTCACGGCTGATAACACGCCGGGCGTGCGCTAGCCGCCGGTGCTAAGCGCTAACCATTGAGTGCGCGTGGCCGACTGCCGCCCCGATGGCGCTGGCCCCCAGCAGCACCGACACCGGCGCGGCGTCGCTGACCCATGGGGGGGGGGGGGATTGCTAGAGCCGGAATTGGGATAGAAGCCGGTATGGGATTGGGATGGAAACTCAGCGAGACTAAGGGATTGTGTTGTGCCTTCGGTAGGCCCCCAAAAATCACTGGTGTAGTGCCCTCAGGGCCGCCGGTTATGAAGCCTTTGGAGGCACTGGTGTGGGCCCTCAGAGGCATTGGTGCGGGGCCCCGGAGGTGCCGCTGTGGGCCCTCTGAGGTGCTAGTGTGTGGCCCTCAGAGGCGCCGGTGAGGGTCCTCACAGTTGCCATTGTGGGCTCTCTGAGACACAGCAGTGTGGGGTCGTCGCAGTCGGATGTGGGACCCTTAGAGCTGCTGGCTCGAACCCTTTATAAGCCGACAGGGGCTCTCCGAGACCGACAAAGGGCCCTAAGAGGTCTGCGGTGTATTCAGGAGCCCTGTGGAGTCCTCAGAGACTAGCAAGGTACTCTCAGACGCCGGTGGGGGCCCTCAGAGTCGTCGGTGCGGGGCCCTCAAAAGTCACCGGTGAGTGGCCGTCCGATGCGAAGGTCCCGTCTTAGGCCGTCAGAGGCTCCGGCGTTGAGCCCTCAGAGCCGCCGATATATGGCCTTAAGAAGCACTGGTTTGGGCCTTTGGAACTTCATTCAGGGGTGTCGGTTGAACTCAGAGGTGGCAGGGTGGGGCCCTCAGCTGGGCACCGCTTTGGGGCTTTCACAGCCGCCGGTGAGGGCCAGCTCGCAGGCGCCGTTGTGGGGGCCTTCAACCATTGGTTTAGGGGGTCATTACAGGCGTGTGTGGAACCCTTAGAGCTGCTGGTCCCTGATAGGCCGGTAAGGGCCCTCAGAGGCCGGCAAGTAGCCCTCAGAGGTCGCCAATGGGCCCTGGGAGGCCGGCAAGGGGCCCTCAAATGCCGACAAGGAACAATAAAAAGCCGGTGTGTGGCTCTTATGGAGAGAAGTGTGGCTATTGTGTGGCTATTCGGAGCACATAAGGTGTCCTTTCGAGCCCTGTGGGGCCCTTCTGAGTCGAAAATGCCAGCATGGACCCTCAGCCCCTCGGGCCCGAGAGGCCCCCTGATCCGATGGGGGCACGTGCCCCTGCCCCCCCCCCCCCTCCGGGTGCAGATAGAGAATGCAATCGGCGGTGCGGGACACAACAATTGCAATCGTTCCTTCTCCCGTCGCGAGGTCGCCCATCCGACCCATATATCCCAAGATTGTCAACCCTGGGGCTCGGGCCTCGGGTCGGCAATGTATCGGCAAGGAAATCAGCTTTAGGTCGGTAAAAAAGTTATTAAGAGTCATAAGTTGTCGTTACGTTCAGTAATAGCAACGATAAAGTGCCAAATGTACCCGACGTGCGCCTTGGAGCCGGGCGCCGCGCGGTATCCACCAGTGACGTCACGCTAATGCTTAGCGACCGGTCCATTGGAAATTGCGGGATGATTCTACCTCTCTTATACGGCCTTGGTATACATTATAAATGGCATTGTTGTGCAGTGAGCGACTGTTCGATGCGACTGCGTTATGTAAGTACCCTTTATGGTGCAGCGCGTAACACCATGCGTTGCTGGAGTGCGGGGGGTGACGACGGGCCTGATGCCGGAGTGCTGCTTGAGTGCCGCTGGGGTCCCGACGGGGTGCCGCCGGGGCGCCGCCAGGGTGCCGACGGGTGCCACTGGGGTACATCCGCTGTAGGGAGGTGCTGCTCATCGACTAACGTCGATGTCGGCGGTGCGTGGCCGGTCGACGGGCAGCTCGGCGTGGATGGTGGCCGTTGGATCAGCGCAGTAGCTGCCGAACGACTCGTCGAACTGAGAGATGTTGTCCAAAATCTCGTCGTCGGTGGTGAAGAGAATCGTCTGCGGCGTGGAGGGCCAGAGGTCACGTCAGAGAGAACACATGTGGCCGGCAGTAGGTATACAAAAACCCTGGGTAAAATCGTCTGAGACTGACTCATGATTGGGAAGGCCTTATTTCAACCGAAGGCTATCTCTAATCCGGAGAGCATTACGATATATATGGAAAAATGTGTTGCTCACAATATCAAAATGCTATTGCCAGAGCTGTATCTCAGTCAGCAACCTCTTTTCTCGCCTACGTGACTGGAAATCCGATGAATCCCCGATGCGTCTGAAAGACTAGCCACGATCAGCCCGAATCGATATCAGCCTTTGGCGGTCCTCTGTACACGCACATTTCCGATTAGTGGTCCCATCAGGGCACGACAGGCGTCATATGTGGCGAATAAAAGAACTGATGTCCCATCGTTACCTTCCCGCATGCCCTGACGGAAATCTGTACTGAATATTTTTATTTTCATAAATTTGTGACAATGGGGAAGGAAATGTCGAAAAACTTACATATGTAGTTATTCGGTGTTTGAAAACTCGATAAAACTTTCGGGATTCATGGCAGCAAATAATAAATTTCACAAAGTGGAATTGAACACTAACCCGTTGGACTTAGTGAGCCATTTTCGTCCATATTTCTTTCTTTCTTTCTTTTTTTTGCAGTGGGAGTGCTAGTAGCGCAGTGTAACAACATAACAAACCTGCTTTCAATTACTTCCCTCAGGACATGCACCATGCCGATCACTGCGAACACCTTTATGTATGCTTAGTGCCAGCCTCTAAGGATGCTCCACTCTTCATTACGCTGGATGATATGTCTTCGTCCATTTGAGATCCTTTTATACTTGTTTTCTGGATGTATAAGGGGTCGGTCTTGGACCCGGGCGCCACGCTAAGCGATCGTTGTTGCGAACGATACCACCACGGGCCCACTACACGACTTTGCCCGCGCCCGGTTCACCGTTGATCACTTTAATCGAAACTTCAACGTATCGCAAGTCCCGGCTCCAGCTTGACACAAAAGTCCTTTCGGGAACTTCACTTCTTTTAGTTTTGTCAGGAAATACAGTGTTCCCCGTTATTTGGCTAGGAACTACGTTTTCTACGTGGATGCTAAAACTGCACAAATAAAATGGCTATTCAGAGCGTAAAACAACCCATCAGTCACGAGGAGCGCTCGGATCACGGCGCCAGCCTATGGCTAACGACCCTTTTAAGGTCGCGTGAGTGATAATTCCAGCCGCCGCGCGGCCCTGACCTCAAAAGCCCTCGGTCAGGTATTGACCCCAAACCGCCCCCCCCCCCCCACTGCCGGCTCCGTCGTGACCCACTGACCCCTATCGCGGTGACCGGCCTCACGATGGCGGCCGGACATCGGTGACCTTGAAACTGCGTGTCGGGGTCGATGGCGGCGGCTGGCACGGTCCGTGGAAATTATACCGAATCGATTTTGAGGCGCGCTCGGCCCGGGAGCGAATCAAATAAACATGGCCAGGCGACGTCAGCGGCGAGGCGCGTTGTTGACGAGAATTGGCGACTGTGGCGCGGTTCACCGCAGCGGTATTGACTATTGATGTGGTGCGGTCTACCTGCACTCAGTGGTCAATTACCAGGTGCAGCCGATACAAACGTGGAGCTGCCCGTACGGGGGCGAAGAGACAAACAGTAATTTGACGGAAATGGAATACGGACGTCGGGGAATTGGAAGTCGCCCTACTGGTATTGTAGCGGCTTCAGAGTTCGGCAGTTGGAACTTTGAATTAACCCGCGCCCCGTTGGGCTCTGCCGAGCAACGCGCCCCGTTGGGGGGGGGGGCCATTTTGGCCCCCCCCCCCTAAGATCTCGAGAACCACGCAACGTAGCGACAAGCGGCAAACGGTGTTGGATAGCCCTATCAGGGAACTACCTTGTGACCCAATTTTATTGACCTAGGTCAAACCGATGACGTCACAGGTCAGGTCAAAGGTCCAATTTTCACCGTTTACAGGCATTTCAAGAAATGCGTTGTAAAATCGAGTAAAATGCATTTCATTGAAAATAATCGATGGGGAAATGTTCTTCAAACACATATTTTGCTAGTTGAGGTCACTGATACCAGGTCAGGTCACTGAGGTCAGGTCACTGGGGGGTCACAATATGAAAGTGTCGTGTGATACATGTTTTATGGATGTCCGTGAAGTTGGCGACGTCGCCAGCAACTTTTCCAGCGACGAGCACCGATTTTAGCCAAAACCTCGTCCAAGGTCAATTGGACCATGAGGATCACGAAAATCGAACCCATTCACCCCTAAACCTTGACCTTCAAGGTCAAATTCAAGGTCAAAGGACGGGGAACTGAAAAAGTGCCACTAAATATTGTCCGATTTTCAAAATTTTGGCACCAAAATGTAGCGCGTGCAAAGTTCTAGCCGCACATCGAAAACCATTTTCATCAAGGTCAAACTTCAAGGTCAAATTCAAGGTCAAATGACGGGGAACTGAAAAAGTGCCACTAAATATTGTCCGATTTTCAAAATTTTGGCACCAAAATGTAGCGCGTGCAAAGTTCTAGCCGCACATCGAAAACCATTTTCATCAAGGTCAAACTTCAAGGTCAAATTCAAGGTCAAATGACGGGGAACTGAAAAAGTGCCACTAGATATTGTCCGATCTTCAAAATTTTGGCACCAAAATGTAGCGCGTGCAAAGTTCTAGCCGCACATCGAAAAACATTTTCATCAAGGTCAAACTTCAAGGTCAAATTCAAGGTGAAAGGACGGGGAACTGAAAAAGTGCCACTAAATATTGTCCGATTTTCAAAATTTTGGCAACAAAATGTAGCGCGTGCAAAGTTCTAGCCGCACATCGAAAACCATTTTCATCAAGGTCAAACTTCAAGGTCAAATTCAAGGTCAAAGGACGGGGAACTGAAAAAGTGCCACTAGATATTGTCCGATCTTCAAAATTTTGGCACCAAAATGTAGCGCATGCAAAGTTCTAGCCGCACATCGAAAACCATTTTCATCAAGGTCAAACTTCAAGGTCAAATTCAAGGTCAAAGAACGGGGAAATTTAAAAATGTTACGTCACCAGCGACTTTTCCAGCAACGAGCACCGATTTTAGCCAAAACCTCGTCCAAGGTCAATTGGACCATGAGGATCACGAAAATCGAACCCATTCACCCCTAAACCTTGACCTTCAAGGTCAAATTCAAGGTCAAAGGACGGGGAACTGAAAAAGTGCCACTAAATATTGTCCGATTTTCAAAATTTTGGCACCAAAATGTAGCGCGTGCAAAGTTCTAGCCGCACATCGAAAACCATTTTCATCAAGGTCAAACTTCAAGGTCAAATTTAAGGTCAACGTGCAAAGTTCTAGCCGCACATCGAAAACCATTTTCATCAAGGTCAAACTTCAAGGTCAAATTTAAGGTCAAAGGACGGGGAACTGAAAAAGTGCCACTAAATATTGTCCGATTTTCAAAATTTTGGCACCAAAATGTAGCGCGTGCAAAGTTCTAGCCGCACATCGAAAACCATTTTCATCAAGGTCAAACTTCAAGGTCAAATTCAAGGTCAAAGGACGGGGAACTGAAAAAGTGCCACTAGATATTGTCCGATCTTCAAAATTTTGGCACCAAAATGTAGCGCGTGCAAAGTTCTAGCCGCACATCGAAAACCATTTTCATCAAGGTCAAACTTCAAGGTCAAATTCAAGGTGAAAGGACGGGGAACTGAAAAAGTGCCACTAAATATTGTCCGATTTTCAAAATTTTGGCAACAAAATGTAGCGCGTGCAAAGTTCTAGCCGCACATCGAAAACCATTTTCATCAAGGTCAAACTTCAAGGTCAAATTCAAGGTCAAAGGACGGGGAACTGAAAAAAGTGCCACTAGATATTGTCCGATCTTCAAAATTTTGGCACCAAAATGTAGCGCATGCAAAGTTCTAGCCGCACATCGAAAACCATTTTCATCAAGGTCAAACTTCAAGGTCAAATTCAAGGTCAAAGGACGGGGAACTGAAAAAGTGCCACTAAATATTGTCCGATCTTCAAAATTTTGGCACCAAAATGTAGCGCGTGCAAAGTTCTAGCCCCACATCGAAAACCATTTTCATCAAGGTCAAACTTCAAGGTCAAATTCAAGGTCAAAGAACGGGGAAATTTAAAAATGTTACGTCACCAGCGACTTTTCCAGCGCCGAGCACCGATTTTAGCCAAAACCTCGTCCAAGGTCAATTGGACCATGAGGATCACGAAAATCGAACCCATTCACCCCTAAACCTTGACCTTCAAGGTTAAATTCAAGGTCAAATGACGGGGAACTGAAAAAGAGCCACTAAATATTGTCCGATTTTCAAAATTTTGGCACCAAAATGTAGCGCGTGCAAAGTTCTAGCCGCACATTGAAAACCATTTTCATCAAGGTCAAATTTCAAGGTCAAATTCAAGGTCAAAGGACGGGGAACTGAAAAAGTGCCACTAGATATTGTCCGATCTTAAAAAATGTGGGCACCAAAATGTAGCGCGTGCAAAGTTCTAGCCGCACATCGAAAACCATTTTCATCAAGGTCAAACTTCAAGGTCAAATTCAAGGTCAAAGGACGGGGAACTGAAAAAGTGCCACTAAATACATATTGTCCGATCTTCAAAATTTTGGCACCAAAATGTAGCGCGTGCAAAGTTCTAGCCGCACTTCGAAAACCATTTTCATCAAGGTCAAACTTCAAGGTCAAATTCAAGGTCAAAGGACGGGGAACTTTAAAAATGCTACGTCACCAGCGACTTTTCCAGCGACGAGCACCGATTTTAGCCAAAACCTCGTCCAAGGTCAATTGGACCATGAGGATCACGAAAATCGAACCCATTCACCCCTAAACCTTGACCTTCAAGGTCAAATTCAAGGTCAAAGGACGGGGAACTGAAAAAGTGCCACTAAATATTGTCCGATTTTCAAAATTTTGGCACCAAAATGTAGCGCATGCAAAGTTCTAGCCGCACATCGAAAACCATTTTCATCAAGGACAAA